CACCCCTAAGACTCCTAAGACTCATCTTTTCTACACTAAAAAAAAAGAGAGAGAGATTTGGTTTCCTTCTTTGCTTCAAGAAGGTATTTTTCACTTTCAGCAAGTTTTAGGACAAGAAGTCAATTTTTTTTGTGGGGGGGGGCGGGTACCAGGGATCAAACTCAGGACCTTGTGTTTGCAAGGCAGGTAGCGGAACCACTGAACTAAATCCTCGGCCCCTGGAAGTCTATTTTAGAATGGACAAACTATCAAGAAAAAAGTGGGTTACAGTTTAGCTAGGTGGTACCGTGTCTGCCTTTCAAGTGCAAAAACAAGAACCTGAGTTCAATCCCCAGTACCAAAAAGAAAAAAGAAAAAAGTTGTGTTTCTCCCTCAACTACATATAGCTTCAGGTGAGAATTTTTACGACTCTTGTTTTTTTTTTTTAATTTTCTTTTTCTGTGTGTGTGAGACAGGGCTTCACTATGTAGCCTAGACAGTCCTTAACCTCACAGTGATCCTTCTGCTTGCCTCATCCTCCCAAGTACTGGGATTATAAGCATGTGCCACCATGACTGGCAACCTTTTTATTTTAACAACTCTTTATTTTTAAATGGGGCTTTACTTTACATACAGCAGCCCAACCCCAGCACACACTTCCTTTGTCCTCTTGTTATCTGTGCCAACCACAGCAAAGATGACATGGCCCGAGAGGTGCCAACTCTGGACACATCCCCTGGAGCCCAAGACCTTGCCCTGTGTCCATTCCCGTCACCAAGAGCTGTGCCAGGTGGGCAGTGGCACCACAGCAGACACAGGTGCTGGGGGCTTTGTGCTGACCCAAGTGTGGGAGACGAGGCTAACATCTGCCCGGGCTTGCGGCAACAACTCTTTTTAAAACAAACCTCTTACACTGGTCAGAAAGGGCCTAGGTTGCTAAAGTCAGAACTGCACTCATTATGTCTTTGGCGGGGGGCAGTAGGGATCAAACTCAGGACCTTGGGATTGAGGCAGGCGGCGGTACCACTGAGCTAAATCTCTGGCCGTCATTATTGTCTTTTTAACAGTGTTTGAGAGAATAAGTACACACGACTGATTTTGTGTGATGACAGTTATTATAAAAGGCAAGAAAAAATGAAGTGTCCGGTTTTCTGATATGCATGTTCCATCATGCCAATTATATTGGTTCCATCCCCTCAAAGTGAAGACCTCTCACAGTGTGTCGTGACCAGGAGGGAGCAAAACCGCAGTGGGGGTTCTCTCTGAAAAGCCATTTCAGAAAAGCTCTCATCCTTGTGCCCAGAGAAAAGAGCTATAAAATTCTCTTGCGATTCCACTTTGACCCACTCTGGGCCTCAACTTGTGGTAAAAATAATTTGATAAGAGTTCCTTCCTTTTATGCAGTTTGGTAAACTAAATGCTAAGGGGATTGGCTAAATTATATTCATTAGGTAAAATATATCTAGCCAGTATAGTAATAGGTTATCTAATAATGTGGAGATATGCCCAGTTTAGGCTAAGTGGAAAAATACTATGAAACTATGACATGACTATATTTACCTAACTAATATACTCTGAAAAAATAAGATAACTGTATTTGTGAATAGAAAAATATTAAACTCTACAAAAAGAATCATCTTCAGGGTTTTTTTGTTTTGTTTTGTTTTGTTCTGAGGTTTTTTTTTTTGTTTTTTTTTTTCTGGTACGAGGGTTCCAACTCGGGTCCTTGTGCTTGCGAGGCAGGTGCCAGAACCACTGAGCTAAATCTCCAGCCCAAGGGTTTGTTTTTTTTTTTTAATTCTGTGTACTTTCTAAAATGATCTATATAATTTTAGTAGTAGGAAAAGAAAACAAGTATTTTTAGTGTTTTAAATATATCATGGGCCCAAGGTGAGGGATCTGCACCCAAAAGAATTAGAATTAAGGCAGTGACCTGGGGTTAAGTATGAGAATGACAAGCATGGAATGTGGGCTGGTCATTCTCCCCTGAGGTAGCCAGTGGTTGGATGTGGTCTCAGGGCTCACTGAGGACGAGGCAATGCAGTACAGCCTGCCCAGGGAACTGACATGACACCCACTTCTATGAGCACCTAGCCCCAAACATTCAGTCACAGAGAACCGTGCAAGTTCTTTCTTTGCATTTTTCTAGTGACTTCCTAATAATTAATACAATGCCTTTAGCCATGAAGTGAGACCTAGGGATCCTGTGGAGGTAGATTGGAGTACAAAACTAGGGAAGGGAATAAAGTCCTCAAAGAGAATCATTAACACTTTAACCCTACCATTTGGGGTGTCTCTGTGATAACTATGACAATGGCTCCAGATGGCTTCACCGGGTCCATTGTAATTGGGCTGCAGACTTATACCTGCAGAGCCAGGCAGGGATCTGAAAGGCCTGAAGTATACTGGGGAGCACCAGGCCTCTTAACAGGGCAGCCACTGTTATTTCCTACTACAAAGAAATGTAGCCCAGGCATTGTTAGATGCCCTGGCTTTTCCACCAGTCACTTTTTTAATATAAAAAAATTATAACATTACAAAAGTCAAACATAACACATTTAGAAGTCCTCCCTTTTTAGTCTATGGTGTCCCTCAGGATATTTAAGAATTCCAAAAAGACCATAGATCCAAGGACATTTTCTGGGCAATTCCACCTCTGCCCAGAAACTCTACCATTAGTGCCATTCCTGTAGGCATTTTATAAGAAGAAACAAACTTCTGTTTCCTTTCTTGAAGGGAGAGATAATTAATCACCCATTAGCACCCCAGTCTGAGGGAAGCTGATGGATGAGGCAGCAATTCCCCAGCAAGGTCTGATGAATGTGGCGGGGTAAAGGCGAAGGTGTAAGTGGAAGCCGTACCCACTAAAGCCAATAGACAGTGTGAAGTTCACTGAAGAAAAGGAACCCTGGGTTTCATGTATCAGCCAAGATCTGCCTGAGAGTACAGCCCACTCCCTAGAAAGAGAACACCAGGATAGGGCCAGATACCTGCTCTGAAGAATGCTGCAAGGAAGGAGAATCCTAGGGTGTTGTTCTAGTTATTCTTCCAGACCCAATTCCTTGACATCTCCTTGCCAGCCTCCCTGCCTGGCATTTATCAGTCTGTCCCCTGAACCCCCAGGTACTTCATTTTGACTCAGTCACAGCTATTATATCTTCCAACTTTAGTTCATTATCCACATACACACTTACGTCCTTTACTCAGCTACTGTAGTAGTGAAATTTCAAAACATCATGCAGCGCGGTGTAAGCTCCCGGTAAAAGCATGGATCATTTAAATGCCCGCATCACTACTTCTTTGTTTTGTTTTGGGTGTTTTGATTTGTTTTGTTTTGTTTTGTTTTTGCTACTGGGGATCAAACTCAGGACCTTGCGCTTGCAAGGCAGGTGCAGTGCCACTGAACTAAATCCCCAGACCAATCACTACTTCTTTGCACACCCGTTGTTCAGCACCTGCTCTGTGACAGGCACAGGCTAGGAAAGGAAGGGGCAATGTTATGACACTGTGGCATGAACCACATGGCCGAGTTTGTTCCCCCTTCTGCCTTGTAACTGCAGTAAAGCACGCCTTGCTCTGAGTAACAGGCCCAGTTCCACTAGATTCCTTTTCTCTGAGTACACTGTGGGTAGTGATTGCCTGTGCTGTCCTAGTTTTTAGTGTCTTTGCTTTTAAAGTCAGCTTATTTTGTAGCTCCTTATTCCAATTCTCTTTGACAAATGCCCTTTGATGTTTGTTTCCTAAATGCATCAAATTTTTGTTTTATTTTTGTTGTTTAAAGAATATAATAAGTGAAGATGAAAAGAATGTTAATAAGACTAAAATTAAATTAGGATTCTCTGGCCCTACTAACAAAAGTACAAAAGGCAGACAACTAGTACTTGGTGTTCTTGGCAGAGTAACCACAGTTCTGCCGCATTAACCCAGACTTCCTACAAGGTGTCTCCTTGTATTTTCCCACTGCATTGCCCAGCCTCCTCTCCACTTGTGCTTTGCAAGGGGACAAACCACTTAATATGATGTATTTGTGAGTCACTTTATAGATTTTTAAATCCATATGATTTAAGGAAAAATGCCCTTATAACCTTACGTGTCAGATGCTTTCAAGATCAGTGTGCCACGCACTGCAAAATGCAGTTGAGTCCCAGGGAGGACTTGTATGGCCATCTGGGGATCTGCATTTTTAAGGAGCTGCATCAGACAGCAATGCTGCTTTCCTGAGACTTTGCTTTGAGAGGCAAAGTGGCAGCCAAGCTCTTTTCCAGCTGCTGATCTTCTTCAGTATGAAACTAGCAAATTCAGGTGGGCTTAAGTCTACATTTGTTATCCCAAATATTAAGAAACTCTTAAATTACTAAGAGCTTATAAACCTAACAAATGATTATTGTCCATCAAATAGAAAATGTTAAGTTGTTCTCTCACCATTGTCCCCAAGCATCACTCTTCCTTAAAAGGGCAAAAGAGAAGTAGATAACTACTTTTTTTTCTTGGTTTTTTCTTGTTGTTGTTGTTGCTGTTGCTGTTGTTGTTTAATTTTTTGTTGTTTTTTTGTTTGGGTTTTTTGTTTGTTTATTTTTGGGGGGGGTTTTGAGACAGGGTCTCACTATGTAATTGAAACTGCCCTGGAACTCACTATGTAGCCCAGGCTGGTCTCGAACTCACAGCAATCCTCCTGCCTCAGCCTCCCGAGTGCTGGGATTACAGGTGTGCGCCACCATGCCCGGCCAGATAACTGTTTTTAAGATACAGTCTAAATGTAAAACCTCAATTGATAACTAAGAGTGTTTTGCTCATATAAGTGAGGCACACATAGCACTGGTGAATCTAGTGGAGAAATCACCAGATTCAGAAAAACAGCAAGAAAACCAAAGCCTTATTCAGAGCAGACTAAGAATTTCACAAACTGGCCAAGTGGATTAATAACTATTAACAAGATAGAGCAGTTTATAGAGCTAGGAATTGACTGAATATCATTGAAAGACTAAATGTGCATTCTTCCCCATTTTTCCCCTATCTTTTAGAGATATCAACTTTTCAGTAATTGGTCAGTATGTGGATTATCTTGTGAAAGAACAGGGAGTGAAGAATGTTTTTGGTAAGTTACCTTGAGATTTCTCTGCTTATCCCTATCTCAGTCTTTATAAAATAGAACTTACCTGGCTACTGCCCATAAAGTCATAGAATCGCTGAGTCCTGTGTTAGGATAGAGCCTGGCTAGGTTAACTAAAAGATATGAACTTGTAGACCCACCTATGTTTGATCTACAGAGCATGTCATGATCTCTTTTGGTGGTGTGCCAACTGATACGGAATTGTTTTTAATCTCCATTTGGAAATGAAAGTTGTGGCTCAGGTATACTTTTTGATCAGTCATTCAACTAAGAAGTGGTCGCATAACAGCTAAGCCCTTTTAAGTAAGAGTAAAATCTTCTTAGCCACTTAGGAAAGAGATTTGGTCTGTCTGTTTCAAAAGCTTGCAAACTGTGAGAGGAAGAAAAACTAACGTAAGTCATAAGAGGAACCTCAGGTCTACCATTTATTGCTACTCATTTCAGAGACAGTGAAGGTTGGAAAAAAAAAAAAAAAGATTTTTTAACAAATTGAGCTTTCTTTTGTATGGCATTCTGGGCTCTCAGCTCCTTGATGGGTTTTCATTTTTCTTTTCTTTTCTTTTTTCTGGTATTGGGGAGTGAACCCCGGGATCTTCACACTGAGCTACAACCCCAATCTCCAGTCTTCCTTTTATTTTTTTCATTTTGAGACAGAATCTCCCTAAGTAGCTAAGTTGCCCAGGTTGGGTTCACACTTGTGTTCCTCATACCTCAGCCTTCCACCCTGCTAGGATGACAGGCATATGCCAACACACTGAGATCAGGGTGGGTTTTCAATCTGAGGACACTAACTTGGGCCCTGGAGATGCCATAGTCACAATTAGACCAGATTAACATGAGACCCAGGCCTTATGTCAAAACCTGGATCTGATTACAGAGCTACTCTGTGCCCCCTACAACTCCTTAGAGGGCTATAGTTCTCCACAGTGAAAAGAGAAGGAGCAAGAACATTCATGACTATGACTTAAGCGTACTTGAAGTATCTCAAGATCCCAAAGAATGACATTGCTTTCTCCTTTCCCTTGTCTTCCCAGCCACCCTATTCCAGCCCAGCACTCAGTGCTTTAAGATTCAGAGAGTAGCCCTACACTTGAGGTCTCAGTGATGTACCCTAGTGCCATTGGCTTTTTCCTGCCATCGACAAGAGATGGTTGAATAGAAGAGTAAGAGGAGGGGCTGGGGATTTAGCTCATTGGTTCTGCTCCCTGCCTTACAAGCACAAGGACCCAAGTTCAATCCCCAGTACCGAAAAAAAAAAGAAGAAGAAGAAGATGAGTTTTGGAATCACATAGCTCTAGGTTCAAACTTAATTTATTTGGTGTTTCAGACATATTTTCTTCTGTTAATAAGAATAATATTTGCTCTGCTGGGTTGTGAGAATACGGGAATACATGAGTGTTGTACAAAAAGTGCTTACTTTGTGCTTGCTTATGCATTTGGGGGGATGGGGCAGTACCAGGGATTGAATTTGGGCCCTTGAACTTGTGAGGCAGATGGCGGAATCACTAAGCCAAATCCCCCACCCATGAATTATTTTTTAAAATGAGTTACCCTAGAGCATTGTCACATGTCAAATTATAGACCAAGGTAGTTTTCAATTATAGTATGCAGAGGAAATCCTGCTTATAACTTTCTCAATCTGCCGGTACTGGAGGGGGTTGATTTACCCTCTGGATGGTGTATTTGGAGATTGGCCTAAAATGTGAGTGGTTATCTCTGATGGCAAGGACAGATTTGTAATTATAGATCACAATTGGTCTTCCCACTGCTCTTGACAAAGTGAAGGCAGAGAAAAGACAGTCTGAAGTGAAAGTGGACATGTGGCATTTTCCCCACCCAGCTCTCTTTTCCAGTGGTTTTCTGGGTCCCTACCTCAGGCAGGGGTTTCTGACTTGCAGACTTGTGCTTGCAGACTTGGGGCTGAAGGGATTAAAGGCATTGGCTGGTCCCACTGACTGACTTTTTGTTTGGAACAGTGAACGGCACTACAGGAGAAGGCCTATCCCTGAGCATCTCTGAACGTCGCCAGGTTGCAGAGGAGTGGGTGACACAAGGGAGAAACAAGTGAGTGGCTCCAACCAAATAAAATACAGTATGTGAAGAAAAGGTGTAGTAGGGCCAGGGATTTAGCTCAGTGGTTCTGCCACCTGCCTCGCAAGTGCAAGGACCTGAGTTCGATCCCCGGTACCAAAAAAGAAAAGAAAGCTATAATAGTGAGGCTTTTCCCAAGTAACACAGCCTCCTGCTGCCCATCAGAGGCTGGGCTGGAGGTCGGCTACAGGGAAGATGAGCAAGATTCTGGGCGTCCTGCCTTCAGTGAGCAGGGCCCTCCTCCCTCCCCGTACTTCCTATGTGAAAGGTCAGTCAGACTGCCAGGAACGTAAGGCTCCCATTCAGAAACCGCCTCTCGTCCTTCTACAGGGTTGCCTGTCCTTGGGCTGAAGTGATAGGCAGGGATGGTGGAGGTGACTGTGGAGTGCCTAGTTCTTCCATGTATAGCTTACACTCCTTTCCTCCCCAGGGAGGGTGCCTGATGCTTGGGACAGCTATCGCTTTCCTGAGGGTCTTTGCATTTGTGTATGTACGTATATGTGTATGTGTATATGGCTTGGCATATTCTTTAAGGTTCTACCTCTTGCATACTTTGGGGACTTTCTGTATTCCCTAAACCTCTATGTAGTAGCAGATTTTTGTTATAACACCTCATTCATACCGTGGTAAAACAAACGGGACAGCAGTGTCCCATGAGCACATCTGGTTCACCACGTCTTATTTACTGTCTGTTATACTGTTATGTGTTGGCCCAGGGACATAAAGCAAGGCTCTGCCCTCAGCCTAGTTTCCATCCAATAGGGAGTCAGATCAAGAAAACTACCACTCTGGCCCTTCTAATAAATGTGTAAGTGGGGAGAAGGGAGTGCTTGGAATTTCCTCAGGTAGAGGGTGAAGACTGGAGGTAAATCCCATTATAGGCCTGAAGCAGAGGTGTCGGCCTGAAGCCCATGCCCTTCCTTGGGAATCCTTACATGGCTTCTGAGCACTTTGAATACCCTGAAATTATGTGCCAAGTTTGAGTGTATGCCCCATAAGCATTTGCAGAAGTAATCCATCAGCTTTCAGTTGTTCTGCAGTCAGATCAGGGGCCCAAGAAGATTAAGAGAGTGGGCAAAGTGAGAAAAGAAGAAGGCTAAGGATAAACATTCAGAAAGCAGTAGGAATGGAAGATAAGGGTATGAACAGGGCCAGAAAGAGCAGGATTGGAGAGGAATGAATCCTGTCATGGCAGGCAAGGAGAAGGATTACAGAAAGCAGCAGTGTGGTACAGTGACCCAGAGCAGGGATTGTAGAGCTACCCTGCCTCTGTAAAATAAGGATGATACCAATGCCTGTTTTAGTTGGGTGTGGTCATGAATGGCTGTAATGCCAACCCTCTGGGAGGCTGAGGCAGGAGAATCAAAAGTTTGAGCCCATCCTGGGCAACTTAGCAATTTAGTGAGATCTCGTTTCAAAAATAAAAGAGAACTGGGGGGTGTAGCTCAGTGTGAAGGTCCTGGGTTCAATTTCCGGTACTGCAAAAAGAAGAAGAAAATAAAAAGCCTGTTTTTATGGGGTTGTGGAAAAGACTGTAACAGTGCCTGATATATAACACAAGATGCTACATAAGAACTTCCAACTGTTTGTAGTGGACGTTGAGTTTGATATCACATTAATTACAATAATTATTTGATGCCCTAAAAGTCAGTAGATGGAAAATTTAAAGAGACCACTCAGTTTGACACAAAGAAGTCATCCTTGACCTGAGGGAAAGAGGACCTGGACAGTTACTGCAGAGAAACCAGACTGCGTGAGCTGCAGACAGACAGTAGGGGCCAAGAGGGTGACTTATGCTCACAGACAGATCTCTGGTGAAGGAAAGGAGAGATGGAGTAGTAGATTAGGGAAGAACAGGCATCTTTTCAAGTGAGCAAATCTTGAGCATGTCTGTGCACTGAGAGGACTCTGGCTTGGGAGAAGATGTTAAAGATACAGAAAAAGCGGTGTCTCTATACCTTTGGGGGAAGGTGTCAGAGGAGTGACTGAAAGAAAATAAAGTAGCTGTAGACATAGCTGAGAAATGTGGGAAAGTATGGACCTGTTGGGGTGCAATTGAGCACAGAGAAGAGAGGAGGAAAGGCAAGGGACCCATGTGTGAAAACGTCCTTATTTATGGTATTTGAGAAGCCAGGATGTCTGCCCTGTATGATTTATTGGGTGGAGTTTTGAGTTTGACTGGAACAAGTCTTGGGATTTGGAGCAGCCTCTGTGAGCATGGGAAAGGGAAGTGAAAAGTGCCACACTGGCCAGGAGGCTTGGGAAGCCTCCTTCTCCTGCGCTGGAAGTCACTGGAAAGCTTGTGTTGCAGCCCAAGGCAGTCTTCCCTGTTGTGCCTGGAAGTCCTGGGAGAGCAGAGGAGCAAGTGGGTGACAGCTTAGCAGAACCATGACAAAGAGGTGGTGAGAGATTAAAGGAGGCCGCACAGCAAAGCTGCTGGTGACAGCAAAATAGGCTGCCAGCCTTCCTTTCCCCTCCCAGAAGCCTTCCCTTGGAAATGGAAACCTGCTCACGTCGCTTCCCAGCTAGGCCTCATTTATCTGAGACACAGCATACCGAGAATCACTGGACCACCCACTGCCTGGGCGTGGATGGGAATGTGGTGTCCCCTTCGCAGGAGAGCAGTGCGAGGCATTTGGAGCCCCTTACATGGCTTCTGAGCACTGTGATCGGACTTGTGGACTTGGTCTGCTGTTGTAGGACTAACTGTGCTACGTGGAGCCCCCCACAGATGAACACTGAGGACACAGAGCAAAACGCCCTGAGAAAAGAATTCTGAGGAGTTAAAAGATAGGGAACAGCTTGTGTTTTATTGTTGTTGTTTTGTTTTGTTTTGTTTCTGTGAGGGTGCTGAGGATTAAACCCAGAGCCTCACATGCTGGGGGAGTGCTATAGCACTGAGTTACATCTCCAACCCAGAAAATAGCTTTTATAGTGAATTCATCTCTCCTATGACTAGTTCCTGGTTCTACTCTTTGAGCTGCCTATTCAGTTTTCTCTTCAGCCAAAAATATTTCAGCATTTTACCTACTGTCATGTTCACAGCACCATCAAATACAAGGCTAAAACAATAGTTGATCAATATAAGTACTGAAGTACTAATTGATCAGTCATTTTCAAAATTCTACTGTTTGGTTGAGCCTTAAATTTTATTCTCTGGACGTTTTTTTTTAATGCTCAAGATTTCTGTCTTTACTATTTTAATAGCTTTTGATGGTTCCATTCTTTTTTGTGTTTTGTTTTATTTGTGGTACTCGGGAGTGAACTCAGGACCTTCACGCTGAGCTATAGCCCCATCCCTTTTTATTTTGTATTTTGAGACAGAGTCTTTCTGAGTTGCTAAATTGCCCAGGCCAAACTCAAACTTGGAATCCTGGGGCCTCTGTTTCCTAGAGTTTGTTTGTTTGTTTGATTGTTTTATACTGGGAATCAGACTCCAGACCTTGTGCTTGTGAGGCAGGTGGTGGAACCACTGAGCTAAATCCTGGCCGTTTGCTAGAGTATTAACAAAAGTTACATTAGTTACAACATTTCCCCTTCCTCCACCCCTCACTGTTGCATTTAAATCCTCTTAATTCAAAGTTACTATTTCCGGGTGCTGTGTTGCCAGGGCTGTTTGTAAGTACAGCTTTAGATTTCTCTTCCAGCCAACCCTAGGGAACGTTCCTGTGGCACAGTGAGGTCCTAGGTTTTACAGTGGCTGTGAGGAAGGGAAGCTGTGAGATCAGAGCTACTGCCTACTAAAGTAACAGCTGGTGGTTGAGCCTTCCTTTGTGCATGTGAAGGGAACACAAGTAATTAGCTCCCCTCGGTCCTCAGTGCACTAAGAGATTGAGGTCAGCCTCTACTGGAGAATTTCTCTTTTTCCTTTGTAGTTTGCCTCATTTATTTTGTTGTTGTTTTGTTTTGTTTTGTTTGCAGTACCAGGGATTGAGCTGAGGACCTTGCTCTTGTCAGGTAGGTGTGGTACCACTGAGCTACACCCCCAACCCCGTTTGCCTCATTTTTTCACTTTTTTTCCCCCTTTGGCTTTTTTGAAATAGGGTCTTACTATATAGTTCATGCTGGCCTTGAACTTACATGTAGCCCAGGCTGTCCTTGAACTCAACAGCAATCCTCCTAGTACTGGGAGCTGGGACTACAGGCATGCACCACCACATCCGACCTCACTTCTTTTCAATAGGAATCAGACTCTTTTTTTTTTTCTTTCCTCCTTGTAAAAAGAATAGAAAACATCTTAAAGAGAGAATTGAATGATTCTTGACTTTTTTTTTTGGTACCTGGAATTGAACTCCGGATTTTACGCTTGCAAGGCAGGCAAGGTGCCACTGAGCTAAATCCCTGTCCCATCTTGACGTTTTTAATAAAGATGTAGTTAAATTTATCTCACCAACTTGAGTCCTAGTCTTGAACTATTTTTTAGTTTTCTCTTAGTCTTGAATTTCATAAGCCTCAGTTTTTCTTATCTGTAAAATGGGCACCCACATCTACCTTCTCTACCTCATAGTTTTTTGTGCCAGTTATGTATAGAAAAACAACCTGAGGGCCCGGGATTTAGCTCAGTTGTTCTGCCGCCTGACTTGAAAGCACAAGGACCTGAGTCTGATCCCTGGTATCAAAAAAAAAAAAGAAAGAAAGAAAGAAGAAAAAGAAAAACAACTTGAAAATCTATATTGTCTTGGAGAAGATATAAAAAGCTATTCTGAAAAATAAAAATAAAAAGCTATCTGCTCTTGTTAGAACAGCCCTCAGGTGTGTATTCAGAATCTTCTCTGCTGGAAGCTGAGCGAACTTGCACCCTTCTGCCTGCCTGGAGATCCTGTGTCACTTGCTTCAGGCCCTTTGCCATACTTCTAACTCCTATCCTTTCCTTGACATGAAGCTTTGGACTGAAAGAATTCTGTCTCCAGGTGTTGAGAGAAGTGCGTATAAATTTGGATAGCAGATTCTATCCTGATAGAATTGCCTTGCTGTGGTTGTTTTGTATGTCTATTTGTTTGTTTGATTACGGTGCTGGAGATTGAACCCACAATCTCATGAATGCAGGCAAGCGTATTGCCACTGAGCTACATTCACAGTCCTTTTTGCTTTATTTTGAGATAGGATCTCACTGTTGTGCCCAGGCTGGCCTCAGATGTGATCTTCTTTCTTCAGCCTCCCCAATAGCAAGGATTAAAGGCATGTGCCATCATGCCCAACTTACCGTGGTCATTTAAAATTTTTTTTTATTAAGACACGTTTTCAGTGCATAATGCTATGGTCTTGATGCACAAAAATTCTCTTTCTACCTACACTTGAGTAGGTGGCATAAATGTACTGCCAGGATACAGAAAACATTTTCCAAGTTCTTCTGATCAGGTAGTTAAAATTAATAGCAGTAGCAACTGAGGTGGGAAGAAAAAAGGCAATTTAAAATTACTTTGAGTAGTGGCCAATTTACTCACTAAATGAGGACAGGGTATTTTCTTTTGCTGATTTTTATCAGCACTAATTTAATAGCCCTCTGTCTTTTTGGGTTTTTTTGTTTTTTGTTTTTTGTCTTAGACAGGGTCTTGCTAAGTCATTAAATTGCTTGTGGCTTGAAATGTGATCTTCCTGCCTCAAGCTTCAAGAGTGCTGAGATTACAGGAAAGAACCACCAAACACAGTGATAATCTTTTTACTACTCTTTGATTTTATTGTGATTTTTGGTGTTATTAAATATTTTTCATTTTCCAAAAAAGATCACAATAAGACCTTTGAATTAGATTAATTTATAATAGATCACTGCAGAACAGTTTTGAGATTGAAATTAATGAAGTATTAATTAACTGCTAAAACCAACCTAAACATGGACAGTGCAGCCGAAACTTCAAGGGACCTGTCAATGTTTTCTCTTTTGTAGGTTGGACCAGGTGGTGATTCATGTAGGAGCACTGAGTTTGAAGGAGTCACAAGAACTGGTATGTGTGCAGATCGATCTGGGAGAAGCCACAGAGACCCTCCACTTTTAGCTGAAGTTAGTATTAGCACCATATCTGGCATGTGTGATGCTCTGCTGGAGGAGGGGAGGTGTGGGGCCTCAGGAAGCCACCTTCTAGAGGAAGCACTGAGCCATAGAGGCTGGGCCCATGGCGACACCACGTTAGACCAGAAGACCAAGGGATCTTCCTCTGAAGAAAGTAAGGATGAGTGTGAATGAGACAAACCACAAGGGAAGATATATTTCTACACTGATGAGGCTGGAATCAGAACTTGGAGACTTTATTTCCTCACACTTGATTTGCTCTTTCAACTGCATAGCGTGGTATAGAGAATCTTTTTTCTCTTTTCAATTGCTTTCTTTTCTGATGTGTGATATGCATTTTTACTTTGGGGGGTACCGGGGTTCGAACTTGGGTCCTTGCGATTGTGAGGCAGGTGTCAGCACCACTGAGCTAAGTCCCAGGCCCTTATGCATTTTTTCTTTCTGGTACCGGGGAACAAACTTGGGTCCTGGCACTTGCAAGGCAGGCGCCGGAACCACTGAGCTAAATCCCCAGCCCCCTTATGCATTTTAAAAATATTGTCATATCAACATATGAAAAATCCTGTCATCCTCTGGGTTGTGTATAGAGGTAATCTTGGAGATAACTTTCTGGTGTAGGGATAATCTGGAATCAGGACAGCCTTCCTGAGGAGACACTAATACTGGTGACTGCTTATCTCTAACTCTCCACTAGATGATGCTTGAATAGGCACTGCTATCTACCCTCTCTTCGGTACTTTTTTCTGTCAAGTTTATTGGTACATTTTAAGTACACGATACAGTTGCATTCATCATTGGGATTCTTGGGTATTTTCCCTTCCTTTCAGCTAATGGTGGTACTGAAAGTATAAAAAGTATAACCAATGTCCTGGTTGGTCTTTGAACTATATCCCAAACTTCAAAGTTCTCTCTTTAAGTTTCTAATTTACTTTTCTTTTTTTTTTTTTTTTTTTTTTTTTTTTTTTTTTTTTTTTTTTTTTTTTTTTACTACTGGGGCTCAAACTCAGGGCCACTGAGCTAAATCCCCAGACCTTTTTTATTTTTGTAAAGCCTGGCTATACGGTTCAGGCTGGCCTCGAACTGGTAATAATCATCCTGCCTCAGCCTCCCGAGTGCTGGGATTACAGGCTTGTGCCACTATGCCCGGTTCTAATTTACTCTGTTACAGAAGGTTAATCATATCTATTAGATGCAGATAGTACAAATTAAAGTCTCAACAGGAAGTCCCTTTCTTCTGAGTGGTGAAGCAGATTCAGAAGCAGCCAAGTATCTGCTGAGGCCCTGCTGTGTGCCCAGCTCTATGACTGACCTGGACACAAAGGTGAAGAAGATGGAAGCCCCACTCTCAGGGGACTCACACTCCATTTGGAGGACAGTCACCACGTACAGCTGTCCTACAGTATGACACAGGCTTAGGTGCTCTACTTGAGCTAGATTAAAATATTATGAGTGCCCAGCAAGAGGAAATGTTAATTTTTTCCTAAGGGAATCTGAGAAAACATCAGAACCATGGTGCACTGTATCTCTTGTGATATGTATAATTTTTTCTTTTCTCAGCTGCCTTCCCAGTCTACTACTAGATAAGAAAGGTAATATCATCCAGTAGGCTGAGCAATAGAAGAGAAATTATACCTGCAAGATTCTCTACTCAGTTGTAACTTCAACAAACCACACATTTCCTTAGCAAGGTTTTTTGCACTGACACACTCCAAAGAAGTATTAAGATTAAGTGCATGGCTTTTCTCCACTAGGGATCTCTACTTTGCAACCTGTGATTTTCCTGGCAGTGGCATCATCATTAATTTGCCCAATTTTTCCACTCTCTAGTGGTACTCTGATATCTAAGCTGCAGATGACTATAATAAATCACTTAATATAGTATGTTCTTCTTGTAAAGGCCCAACATGCAGCAGAAATAGGAGCTGATGGCATTGCTGTCATTGCACCTTTCTTTTTCAAGCCATGGAACAAAGGTAAGTAGATGGGTCTAAATGTACAGTTGTTCGCATTACCTACCTCTTGCTTCCATTCAGAGTGATTATATTTAATACGTGAAGTCATACAGGCTGGAAGTTGCAATGTATAGTGATTCTGTAGAATATTTCTTCCCCCTAGATCCATAATAGAGATTGCTTTAATTCTTCTGCCAGTACTCTGACTGGATCATCTATTGAGCCCCATGTGGTAGGTGCTATCCAGCCAATCATATACATAACAGAATCACATGGAACTGTTTTTCTCAAAAGAGGGGCGTATAAAAGAATGGCATTTTGAAACGCATGTCCTTTTGAGAGCTGATAAATAATGACAAATTTGAAAAGAGACTTAGCAGAAATGTTCTTTGTCTTCCAAAACATCAGAACTTTCTCCTCCAGTTCCTTCTCCGAGGAAACTATTTATGTATCTGAGTATACCTAGACTTTAGGGGGGTGTAGGGGGGATCAAACTCAGGTCCTTGCAAACTCAGGTCCTTGTACTGCGAGGCAGGTGGCAGCACCACTGAGCTAAATCCCCAGCCTGCAAGACTTTTTAATCCTTATTGATTAGCAATAAAAGAAATACAGGGCCAAGGATTTAGCTCAGTGATTCTACTGCCTGCCTGAGTTCAATCCCCGGTACCAAAAAGAAAGAAATTCAAAGCTTAAAAGGATAAAAACAGGTGTTATTTGTATACATGATTAAATATGACCATATCTAAGCGTATAATAGTTCAAAATCATGAAATATCACCTATTCTTGATAGATACAAAGTTTGTTAATGTTGATAAGTAATTTAAATATTGCTAATTTGAGAATTTAGAATGAATATTTTAAGTCTATTCTTTTTTGTTTGTTTTTGTTTTTTGATACTGGGGATCGAACTCAGGACCTTGCGCTTGCGAGGCAGGCGGCGGAACCACTGAGATAAATCCCCAGCCCAAAAGTCTTTTCATGTGGTGGTTTTTTTTTTTTGGTGGGGGGAGACTAGGGATCGAACTCCAGCAAGGCAGGCACCTGAACCACTGAGCTAAATCCCTGGCTTTCGTGTGGTTTTACACATTTTTATGTAAGCAGAACTTCTAAAAGGCAAATAATGAATTATACATAATAATTTTATCTGAAATATTTATCACAGACTAAGCACAGTATTGAGAAATAGTACATAAAATTCTCTTTCCTACTGTTCACTTGCATCCAAAGTTTAAGCAGTTTGCCTGATTTATTCATCATCTATAGTAATTTGCTCTTGGAGCTCATCTGGGAGGATGCAGGGAGTCACTCTTCCTCAGTAAAGAGTAGGCTCTGGTCTGTCTGGAATTCTCCTAGAAGTGAAAAGCACCAAACTGGCTGAATTTTTGTAAAACGTGCCACCAGTCTTATAATTTCTTTATTGAAGCAAATGTTTATATTTTTGTTATAATTTTCTCAGTAACAACTGTATTATTTTGATTCTTGTGCAGTCTCTGCTGCATGCAGCCCTCTACGTTCAGAGGAAAAGAGTCCTGTCTGATTTAGCTCAGTGCACCCCACCTGCCTTGCAAGCACAAGGTCCTGAGTAGATCCCCAATACCAAAAATAAAGCATGAGATGACTGATTCCTACAATATGGGAAAGTGTGCACCTATTTTTTTTCACTTTTTTGGAGGAGCAGGATTGGCTAAAGATTGAATCTGGGGCCTTGGGTATGCTAAGTATATGTTCTACCACTGAGCTATTCTCCCAGCCTTGATTTTTTTAAAGGTAGTTTAATATAGTACGAAAATAAACATCACATTTTGGCATTTCCACTGAAAGGAAAATAAAACCTTAAATGAAATGGTTGAAAAGACTTTGCAGTAGTGATATCAAGAATGGTGAAGCGAGGTCCCAAGTTCAATCCCTGGTACCAAGGAAAAAAAAAAAAAAAAAAAAGAATAGTGAAAATAGTCAAGAATTTTCAGCTTCTGAGGCAAATGGTTCCATTTCATCAGATAATACATTTTTTATCAAGGAAAGCCACTGTTTTACACTTTTGCACACCATGATTTTTCCTCCTGTTCTTTCAGATATCCTGATTAATTTTCTAAGGGAAGTGGCTGCTGCTGCCCCTACATTGCCATTTTATTACTATCACATTCCTGCCTTGACAGGGGTAAAAAGTAAGTAATGCTTTTCTTTATATTTTGGTCCCCGGGATCACTTGCAAGGCAGGTGGCGGAACCACTGAGCTAAATCCCTGGCCCTAGAATGCTTCTCTTGATCTTTCCTCCTGACTCCCCGCATCTTACACTCTTTCACTAAGAACCACCCCCACTCCACCCACCCTGTCCTACAAACGCACAACACTATTTATGAGACAGGCCCTGAGGTTTAGCTCAGTGGTTCCACCACCTGCCTCGAAAGTGCAAGGTCCCGAGTTCAATCCCCAGTACCAAAAACAAAACAAACAAACTATTGATGAGACAGTTCCAGTTGCTTCAAAATATCCCAGCCCTTACCAGCCATTTACATCACCTTATGGTGGAAGTTCGTAAGTACAAAGAAGGGTTGACCTCAAGGCACTTAAAGCACACACTCGCACAGCCCTCTGATTATTCTCTGAGAAGACACACAGTCACAATCCTGTTGAGGACAGGACAGTGTCTACCTTGTATCTACTGTATTCTCAGTGCTCGGGAAGGTACTCTGATCTTTTCTGGCTTTTCTTCTAGCTTTTATTCTAGTATTAGTATACTTCCCTAGTGAGATGATTTTTTTACATTTAGATGAAATTTCTTAGATTGTGGGGGGTGTTTTTTGAGATAGAGTCTCACTGTTAGTTCAGGCTGGCCTTGAATTTACTATGTAGCCTAAGCCGACCTGGAACTCATTGGCAATCCTCCTGCCTCATCCTCCCGAGTGCTGGGATTATAGGTGTGCACTACCACACCTGGCTCTTAGATTATTTTTTAAAACCCATTATTTTCATGGTGCACGCCTGTAATCCCAGTGCTCAGGAGGCTAAGACAGGAGGATCGCTGTGAGTTCGAGACCAGCCTAGACTACATAGTGAGTCCCAGGTCAGTCTCAACTACATAGTGAGAGCCTGTCTTAAAAAAAAAAACAACATTATTTTCTACATTCTATAAAAAAAAATAGAAGACTGCTTTGTAAATATCCTGAAGAAAAACAAAGTTTTTACTACTCCCTATTCCCACACCATTCAACACTTTACACCTCTGGTCACCAGAATGAAATACTTGTATGTGTGGGGATTTCTCCCTACCAACAACCACTTCTCCATTGAACACTAATTGGGTGTCCAGTAACTCAGTTCCCTTCTGACACTGTTGAATTCAAAATAGCGTTTGACCCTACAAGTTGAGGGCTCAGTCCCAGGAGACCGTCCCCACTTCAAACATCAGTCTCCAGACCCTCATGATCTGTGCTTCTAACTGGCAGTAAGTCAGTATTCCCACAACTGGGTGGGTATGGTAGCACACACCCAGGATCCCAGCACTCAGGAAGCTGAGGCATGAGGATCACCATGAGTTTGAGTCCAGTGTGAATTACAAAGCAAGACCCTGTTTCTAAATAAATAAATAACAACAACAACAAAAACCCCAGGATGCTTCTGTTGCCCAGAACATTCTAAGGGATTTAGAAATTGTCAGATGTACCTATCGCTTAAGAAATTCCAAAGGTCTTAGGAACACCACTTCAGAAACCAGAGTGAAAAACCTAATATCACAGTGGCAGTGAACCTGCAGTCAGTATATGTTCCACAGCAGGCTGTTTGTGTTATTGAAGACTATTAAAAGGTTCGCCATCTCTGAAATATCAAAACAAAAGATTCTCCTAGCTCCCCCACCTACAAGGGTCTGGGGAGCACTATCACAGGAACTGAGAGGAGAGACCAAATAAACATATACCCACTATCACAATATCCAGCTAGCGTCCTCACGAATGGAGATTCTAGGATTGTGATTTAACAGGTACCTAGGAACTATTTGGCAGGGGCAAGCGATTATGCCATCTGCTGTCAGTTCTGGCTAACAACAGCCCAAGGAGCTCAGTGCTGATGTGGGGCCGTACGTATGAGATGGTTGATGTTCTCTGCTGCTGTGTGGATTAATGGGGCATTTATTGTTTTGAACAGTTCGTGCTGAGGAGTTGTTGGATGGGATTCAGGATAAGATCCCCACCTTCCAAGGTCTGAAATTCAGTGACACGGACCTCTTAGACTTTGGGCAGTGTGTTGATCAGAATCACCAGCGACAGTTTGCTCTGCTCTTTGGGGTGGATGAAGTAAGTCACTCCCTGGTATATCCTGGCAGGGCAGTTTCTCTCCAAACCAATCATGTAGCTGTTTCTATGGTAGCATCTCTTCGCTTATGCTTTTTCATAAAAATCAATACATTCTGTCTGTTTCTCATTAGCAACTGCTGAGTGGTCTGGTGATGGGAGCAACTGGAGCAGTGGGCAGGTGAGCATGGCCCATTTTGCCGAGGATTATAAATTTAGGGTTTCTCATAAAGGCACTCATCACCAGGATAGTTATACCTCTTGCATGTCCATCCCTTTCCCATAGAAATTAACTTTTGTTCCCATACTTGTTTAGTGAAAGGGAATTAAGTAGGGCTTAACTGTGCATTAGAAACGCAGGCATCAGGGCCGAGGATTTAGCTCAGTGGTGCTGCCACCTGCCTGGCAAGCGCAAGGTCCTGAGTTCAATCCCTGGCACCAAAAAAAAAAAAGGAAAAGAAAGAAACGCAGGCATCTTATGTGAGTGCAAACATCCATTGCAGTTAGACGTGGGTCTTGAGCAAAGAATGTACAGGGCCTATAACTTATCAGAATCAGCCTATAGTGACCCTGGTGAACAGGGTCTCAGAGATGGGCATACACCATTGATGGCAGAAACTTGATTACAAATAACTTTAGCTGGTCATGGTGGCACACACCTGTAATCCCAGTACTTAGAAGGCTGAGGCAGGAGGATCACTATGAGTTTGTGGCATGTTTGGGGCCAGCCTGAGATACTATCTCAAAAACAATTGATTCCAGATAACAAAAATCCATTCTAACTAGATTATGTAAAAGAAAGTAAATTTTATTTGATTACAAAGTATTGAGAAATTAGCTGAGCGGTATGGCACAGTCCTGTAATCCCAGCTAATGGGATTGCATACTTTTGAGCCTAGTTTAGACAATTTAGAGACTTAATGAGGTCTTAGGGCCAGGGATTTAGCTCAATGGCACCACACCAGCCTCACAAGTGCAAGGTTCTGAGTTTGATCCCCGGTACCAAAACTGAGACCTTGCCTCAAAGTAAAAAAGAAATTAAAGAGGTTGGAGGTGTAGGTTAGTATGAAGGCCCTGGGTCCAATCCCCAGTACCAGAAAAAAATCTAAGTCAATAACTTTCTTTTTTAGTGCCGGGGATTGAACCCAGGGCCTTGCCACTCATGCTCTACCACTGAGCCACATGCCCAGTGCTATTTTAATTTTGAGACCAGGTCTTGCTAAGTTGCTTGGCCTGACTGAACTTGTCATTCTCCTGCCTCAGCCTCCCTTGTAGCTAGGATTATAAGCATAGACCTTGGCAGTTTTTTGGTTGGTTTTTTTGTTTTCTTTTGGTACCAGGGATGGAACTCAGGGCATTGCACTTGCAAGGCAGGCAGCAGAGCCACTGAGCTAAATCCTCAGCCCTTGGCAGTGTTTTGTTGTTGTTGTTGTTTTGTTTTGTTTGTTTGTTTTGAGCAAAGTAGAAACTAGGCCACTTTCCAGGGATTTGAGAACATGATTTATGTCAAGTCCCTGGCATATGATAAGCACTTAATAAATAGTCCTTAATTTTATTATTATGTTATTAGTCACATAGAAACCTTTTGGCAAGGGATTTAGATATTTTGTTGAGATTTGCCACTTACAGTGCTCCACGCACTGGTTTCAGCACGGTACTTTTAGCACTCGACTCAGATGGTACATTTTGTCCACAATTCTCAAACTGCACTTCTGTGTGGGACCTGGGCCAAGTATTGGCTTCAGTCAAATGAACCTCCCAACCAAATGTACCTCTTCCTTTTTTTTTAATCTTTTTTCTATTTTCTTTTTCCTTACCCCTTTGGTGTTCGCTGCCTTCCTTGTTGCACTGTTTCATATGACTGGAGACTTATAATTGAAGGCAGTCTGTGTTAGTTACTGTTCTCTCATTGCTGAGACAAAATACCCCCAACACCCAAAGTTAGAGGGGAGGGGGTTTCTTTGGCTCACAGTTCATAGAGATTTCAGTCCATCGTCTGCTGGCTCCAAGACAGGGATGGCAAACAGCCATCACAGAGGAGGAACAACAAGGTGCACAGGGTAGCAAAAGCAGCAAGAGGATTTGACAACATCTTTCTGCCCCTTTTATTTAGACTACCAGGATTAGGGCCGTGCCAAACTACACTCACATGTAGTGGTTTAGTAATTGCAAACCCTTGTCCCCAGTGTCACACATTCCAGGCTCAATTACCTCTGAGAAAGAAAGTCCTGCTTCATCTGCATGAGGTTTTGGGGGGACATCCAAACACAAGCCATGACACAGCCTGACCCCCTATAGCTAGGACCTGATAATAGAAATATGGAATACCTGGCTATTTTTTTTTCCTTTTTAAACAATACAAATGTAAAGTTCTTGACCTTTCTCATTGAGTTATTGAACTTGTAATATTTGCTCTTGTCTTGCCAGTACTTACAACTACCTGGGAAAAAATACAAACCAGATGTTGGAAGCCTTTGAACAGAAGGACTTCTCTTCAGCCCTGAACTATCAGGTAAACTTTTTCTTCCCTTCACAGCCTTTTCTCTCCCATACTTCAAGATCCTTTGTCATCTCTAATCTTCATTCCTGCCACATCTGCCCTCATTAAAATGGTTTCACTGTCCCTTTGCTTTACTCTTTTTTCCTGTTTCTTGCTTTTTCTGGTCTAAAACTGAATTTACCCCATTGTCTCTGTCCCCTACATGTCTGATCAAGACAGGCCTCACATAGGAATGACTCCCCTGTTCTTCCTGGAAAAGATCTTACTTTTATTCTATCCTCACAATATTTCCATGACTATGAAATAGCAGTCATAAGTTTCTGGAAAAATGACCATGTATGGCCATCCTTTGAGGATGTCACACTGGAGTCATCTGAGAATATGAGGAAGCTTTGAAGATGAGAACCTAAAACAAGTAAGGCTTAACCCAAAGTCAGGGCAGAACAGCCCTGTCCACTCTGGAAATGTGCTGAGAATGGCAAGCATTAGCAGGCAGGAAACGAGAGACTCATGGGAGAGCCAAAGGGAGACCCAGCTTTGAAACAGAAAGAGAAAAGGCAGTTGGCCTGATGTGTTACAGAGAAGACCCAGAGGCAGTCATGGCTGCGCTGCTGGGAATGCTACACAGAAAACCGCCTGGCTGTTCAGGGAAAGAAGAGCAACACTGAAGGGTAGAGCCAGTCTCACTATAGTAGCTGGATCCAAGCTGGGTGTGGTGCACACACCTATAATCCCGGCACTTGGGAGGCCAGGGCAGGATTGTGACAAATTCAAAGCAAGCCTGAACTACATAGTGAGACCTTGTCTCAAAGAAAACCAAAAAATATCTGGTGAGTGTGTGCACTTCAGAGAAAAGGAGTAAAGAGAAAGGAGGGCCGGGATGGGGATTTAGCTCAGTGGTTCCGTGGCCTGTCTCACAAGCACAAGGTCTTGAGTTCAATCACCAGTATCAGAGAGAGAGAGAGAGAGAGAAAGGAAATAGGGTAGGCAGTAGAAGACCACCTTTGGGATCCCAGAGGCATGAGGATTTTCAGGAGAGTGTAAGTGCTGGAAAATAAGTGGGAATGGAAGGGCATAAACAAAATCTGAGGAAGTGGTTGGTCCTAAGAAAACTCAGATGAGTCTATTAAATGGGACAGGCCATGAGCAAGGTAACCAGAGATGACAGAGTACAAGTACAAAGGCTCCTGGTAGCTGGAGTGAGTAACCTGTTGCTCTAACTTCCAGACAGCCTGAGGAAGCAGGGCCCAGAAAGGGGGTGGTTTTCCCACCCTTAGGCCTCAGAGTTGAGCCAGCAAAAATCTACATCTTCCTTATGTTTAAATATTTACTCTTGTCCATCCCCAGACCAAGTGAAGCTCAGAGCAGGAACAAGATAGGAGGCTATACCACCTAAACTAAATATTAACAAAGCTGTTTTCTTTTTTCCATGTCTCAAAATTTTAAAAACATAGGGCCAGGGATTTAGCTTTGCAATGCCACCACCCGCCTTGCAAGCATAAGGACCCAAGTTCAATCCCAAGTACCAAAAAAAAGAAAAGAAATTAAAAATATTTTAAAAGAGGGCAGAGAATGGGGATGTAGTTCAATGAGAATGCCCTGAGTTCAGTCACCAGTACCACAAAAAAACAAAAGCAAGAGCCGGGCATGGTGGCCCATGCCTGTAATCCCAGCACTTGGGAGGCTAAGGCAGGAGGATCGCTGTAAGTTCGAGACCAGCCTGGGCTACATAGTGAGTTCCAGGTCAGTCTCAACTACACAGTGAGACCCTGTCTCAAAAAACAAAACAAAACAAAAAAACCCAAGGGACAAGGGGATTTAGCTCAGTGGTTCTGCCGCCTGCCTAGCAAGCACAAAGACCCAGGTTCAATCCCCGGTACCAAAAAACAAACAAACAAACAAAAAAACAGCAAAAAAAAATTAGGGTAACAAGTCTGGGTTATGTAAATACTACCTTCTCTTTGCAGGCATTATTTTTGTTATTGTTGTTGTTGGTTTGTTTTCTCCTAAAAGTTGTTTCTGGAAAGTCAAACTTGTTCAGAGGTGAAGGACAGGGCAATCACGGATGAGTAGACTAAAGGAGCTGTGATGTTAACCTTCCCCTCAGGTTTATTTTACAGGTTTCCATCTTTTTTTCCCTTTTGTCTCTATACAAATCATTTCATTCAAAATAGTGTTGGTAAGGTATTCAGTTGACCACATTTTCTGTCTTCTTACAGAAGGCAAGTGTGGCAGAGACTCATTTGCATACAGATAATTTATGCCAGAGGCCTGATTTCAGTAAAGCCTGTTATTACCCTCCACGGCGTTCAGTTGAGTACAGGCAGACAGGAGAAAAGTTAGGGCTCTGCTTAATCTCATTGACTCTCATGTTCTTAAATGCCATCTATTGCTTTTATATGACTGAAATGATATGTGTACAAACTTATTCCCTGCAGTTGTATTTATAACAGCAAAACACAGAGACAGCCCAAATATCTATCCATAAGTCAGTGGTTAAATACATTATGCCCAAGTTATGCCATGGAGTTGTATGCATCCCTTAAAAAGAATGGCATACAGGGCCAGGGATTTGGCTCAGTGGTTCCGCCACCTGCTCACAAGCGCAAGGGCCCAAGATCAATCCCTGGCACCAAAAAAAAAGAATGACATACATATTCTGCTCTGGAAAGACCTATGTGTTCAACAGAAAAAAGCAGCAAAGTACAGCGTAGTAAATGTAATATGCTGTTGATTGTGGGGGGACAGCATGTATTTATGTTTATAAGGTTTTGAATATCAAGTTTTTTTGTTTTTTGTATTTGTTTTTGTATTTGTTTTTTGTGGTACAAGGGATCAAACTCAGGACCTTGCTCTTGCCAAGCAGGTGCAGTGCCACTGAACTAAATTCCCGGCCAAGATTATATTCTTAGTTGTATTTTATTTCAAGTAGACAGCTGATTAAAACAGCATAAATATATTACACATTTTGAAAAATACTTTTCAACATAAAAGTAAAATGTTATTGAAAATGTGAAAATATATCTCTCTCTCTCTTTTTTTTTTTTTTGTTACCTGGGATTGAACTCAGGACCTTGTGCTTTCGAGGCAGGCAGTGGAACCACTGAGCTAAATCCCTGGCACTGAAAATGTATCTCTTAAAGAGATAGTTGGGAGTTCTTTTTACCGATTTATTCATGAATGTATGGATGACTGTTCACATCAGTATTAAAGTGCAGCTGTGTTTTTAAAGAAACAAGTGCTGCAAACCCTGTTCATAATAATATAGTACATATGAATGGAAGAACTTTTGTTACAGCGATGTCATCATTCTTTGAACAATTTTGAGTCATAAGCCAAAATCAAAATGTTCAGTTGTTAATGATTTTCCCCTAACAACTTGGGGCACAATGTTGAAAGCAAGGAAGTGAAAACTCTTGGACTTTTAGGAACACTTGTTACCCATTAGTTAGAGGAAGCGCTCTATACTGTTTTTCACTGTCAATGCTGTGTCCTGGTGTGTGTGGTTCCTCCCACCCCACCCCACCTATGCTGGAATGGAGCCCAGAGCCTCACAAATGCTAGGCAAGCAATCTACCACTGAGCTACACCCCACTTCTCAGCACCTATGTGGTGCCCTAGGGGTATCTAAGGCAGGGATAATAGAGGTCTGTCTTTTTTTTTTAAATCAGGACAGGACTTTGAAAGGAAAAATAGAAAAGGACAACCTGCATCTCTATTATGTCAATCAGTTTTAGAAAATAGCACTTCTGGAGCTTGATCTAGAAGGTAATTATCATAAACCTTAGCCTTGGCCAAGTGCCCCTTGGGTATCTTGGAAGGTACCCCAGAAGTATGAGCAGTCCAGTTTGAAAACCACTGCACAAGAAGCTCAGTTTCCCTCTGTGAGCTGGATGGATAAGGGGTGCACTCCCACTTTCCTCACCAGGGTGTCTTCCATTGGAGCTTCTTTTTCTGCATGGGCCAGATCTGTAAAGTCTGTGTGCATGGCAAGAGCCTACCTCATACCTCATCCTGAGTGGATCTTAACCATCCTCACTTGGTGGACACACTGCACACACACACACACACACACACACACACACACACACACTCTCTCTCTCTCTCTCTCTCTCTCTCTGTCTCAGAAAATGTACACGTGTAGACTTTAGACTTTCTGTAATTTGACTTCTAAATTCCTTAAATTATTTTCACAGTTCCACAATATTAACTATAGATTTGTTTGTTCCTTTGTAGTTTTGTATCCAGCAATTTATCAACTTTGTGGTCAAGCTAGGTAAGTGTCACATCTCTTCCAGCTCTGTCTGCTGCTGCCAAGTGTAAAGGAAATGGAATTTCATCACTTTCTCCAAGAGTTTAACAAGAACACTTTCTACTCCTCTGTTGCCAGCAGTTTTGTTTCCAATACTAACCTGCAGGCCCAACCATATAAAGCGAAGCAAACTTGCTTGGCAGTCTTTTGTCAGTCTTGAACCAAATTCTTTTCCATTTTAGCATGTTCTTCTCCACCATAAATACATTCCGTTTTCTATTCTCTCTTCTTTCCTTCATATGCCTGTGCTCATTAAAATTCTGCTACTGAACTTGGAAGATGGCAATCTGAATACAGATCTTACTCAACCAAATGATTGACAGCTCTTGCAAGAGTATCTGAAATTGAAAAAGACATCATTAGCACAAGTAAGCTTAAGTGGAGGGACACTTCGATGATATACCAAAGTAAAATTGGGGAAATACAGTACATATGAGTGGGGAAACTGCTCCAGAATGTTACTCTAGAACAAATGACAGTATTCACTCCGCTTCTGCAACAGATTGGCCCTTGGGCCAGCTGGACCCAGGTCAAGTCCAGCTGACATTCAAGTGTACTCTTGGTAGATGTCTCTACTCCCACCCAGAGCCTTTCTGCTTTGTCCTAGCAATGTCTCCCTCTCCAGGAGAAAGGAAGGAAGGAAGAGAAAGAAAGAAGAAAGAGAGAGAGAGAGAGAAAGGAAAAGAAAACTGACTAGCTAGGCTGAGGATTTAGCTCAGTGGTGCTACACCTGCCTTGAAAGTGCAAAGTCCTGAGTTTGATCCCTGGTACCAGAAAAAAACAACAAAAAATATATAGAATCACTAGTTCTTTTTTCTGGTAAAATATTATAGATTTATTTAAAACTTATTTTTCTCTCAGGTGTGAATAATCTGCAATAATACATAAGATCCTAATAAGATTACTGACATTTAGAAATGGGAAGAAAGGAGCTAAAGGTGTAGGGAAGGTGGGATGGGTAGGGGAAGGGTAATAAGGGAAAAGAAAAAAATGTGAGATAATGAAAAGATGGAAATAAAGTATTTGTAGATGGGGAGGGGAGGAGGGGGTGAAGGGAGGGCAGGGGTAAGGGGAAAAAATGAGAATCAAGACTTGTCATGTAGAGGTACAAGATCCCAACAATGAATGTAACTGTACTGTATCCCTAAAGTGTACCAATAAACTCAATTAAAGCTGAAAAAAAAACTTATTTTTCACCTTGAATATGCAAAATATAAACCCCACAAATGTTCATTTGTTTCGTAGTTTACAAATATACAAAATAGAAGTTTGTTAGCCAGGCGTGGTGGCACAAGCCTGTAATCTCAGCACTTGGGAGGCAGAGGCAGGAGGATCGCTATGAGTTCGAGACCAGCTTGGCCTACATAGTGAGTTCCAGGTCAGTCTCAACTACATAGTGAGACCCTGTCTCAAAAAACCAAAAAAAAAAAAAAAAA